CTATAACTACTAACAACTGGCATTTCTATAGTGGTTAAGATAGAAGAACCAAGGCAAGCTCAAGGCGGGCCTGGGAGGGCGCTCTCTCAGGCCAAGGCCCATGAGAAAGAACCGAGGACAGTTCACGCACCCCCCTGTATGGCCAATCAAGGGTTTGACAGGCACACACACACCTGAAACAGAGCACCCAGAGGGACACTGCTCAAAGAAATAAGTGGTTTTAAGCAGCACTGTAAACTTCAGCTAAACTACGGAAAACTTGCAGTCAGGCAGTCTTCTCTAGCAGGCAGGGCATGAGGCTGGGCATTGAGACCCTGGGGGGGGTCTAGCCCCATCTCTGCCACTGATCAGCTATGTGACCTTGGGCAAATCACTGCCTCTCTCCAAGTCTGTTTCCTGCCCCACTTCTTGACTGTTTAGACTATAATCTCTTCTTAGAAGTTTGTGCCTTGCATGGTCTCAACTGGGACCCAACTGCTACTTAATACAACCGCCACCAAACAACAGCAACATTGCAGTTTCTGTAGAATAAATGTAGCATTGACCATATCATATGAAGCCACTGGTCTACCTAGCCCACCATTCTGTCTCCGACATTGGCTACTATAAGCTACTTCAGAAAAAAAAAAGATACAAGAAACCCAAGGGGACAATTGGGGAATAACTTCACCAAAGGGGAAGTTCCTTCCTAATTCCCACCAGTTAGTGTTTAACCTTAAGCACTCAATACATTTCATGTCCTGAGATTTAAAAAAAAAAAAAAAATCCTTCAAGAAAAGGTTAAGGATTTTCCTGCTTCCTTGTTAATACTTGAGTTCTCAGCAAATCAAAAGCATCTTGAGGTGGAACCAGGGAAAGTGATGATGCATGAATGGCTTGGGGGAGGACAGAGAAATTGTTGTTTCTGCTAACTTATTTCAGCTGCAATCATCATAGTAGGTATAAGATTTTTAAACAGAAATGTGATTTTTGAAGTGGTGATATATCTTCAAGTATTGCTCCCAGGATTCAATATATGCCATTCAAGTTAGTCTCCTAAGGAGCACCCCTCTTGTATGGAGGATTTCAGTAGCTGTTGGGAGCCCATGAAAAGGCTCCAATTGTCCTTAGTTCAAGTGCATTAGGAGATGGGTTAGAGAGCAGGGGGAGTCAATAGGGAATTCTCATTTACAGTCTCTTGCAGGATTCTTAGATTAGGAAGGTTAAAGGTAATGTCAGCACCATTCTCTTCAGGTCCCACAATGGCTCTGACCTGATTAGCAATTTTATCCCACTGTGCTTTGAAAAGCACACCCAGGAAGGAGTGCTGTGACCTCTCAGCTGAACCTCACCTGCGCTTCCCTATTGCAGCTTCACACTGCACAAAGAGTTTCAGAAAGGAAGTGAATACTACCTGAAACTGCTGCGGAACTTTAAATAGGCAAGGAGTAACTTCGATTCCAAATGGGCATTTGACCAGGACAGTGGATCCAGCCTCTTCATTTATTGCAGAAAGTAAAATGGAATGAACAGCCCAGAGCGGCCAGGTCCTATGACTTGCCCAAAAGACCTTTTGTGCCACAGATGACGGGAGGGGAAACACAACTTTAAAAAAAATTGCAAAATGGCTTTTTGAACAAAAACAAAGATTTGGTAAGACTGGAAAAATTCTGCCAAACACCAAAATTCCCCTCCTGCCAAAAACCAATTTTTTTAGGGTTTGGATGTGCGTGTGTGTTTGGTTTTGGAAGGAAAAACATAAAACTGTTTTCAGAGGAAATATAGGGGAAATTAAAATGTTTCTAAAATGTCCTACTTGAAGGACTGTGACGTGCTCAAACATTATGGTATAGGGGATCACAGAGGTACCCTAAAATAGATAGCTGGAGGTCCCCATCCAACGACTGACCCAACCTTTGCTTGGAGATCTGAGAGGTCACAGCACAGACTTGTACAGTCGGATTCTCCCACTAAGTTTTACATCAACCACCAGAAGACAAATGAATCTGTCCCTACAGAAATGCTGCAGGAAGAGATGAGATGAGGAATGTTCAGATCCCAAATCATTAGCAGAATGTAGGTTTAGGCATTAAAAAGCTTATAGATAAATATCTATTTCAGGAACATTGTTAAAATGTAGGTTTATCCGTTTTTTACCTGCTCTGAGTTTGTCCAAGCCCCTAAAAGCTATAGCCAGAGAGGCCAAACTCAGAACTCACCAGCTTTTCCCATAGCTTTGAATACATTGAGAAGTTGGCATGCACGGACTTAACAGAAGTCACACACTAGCATACTCTTCGCAGAGCGCAGTGGGATAGTCGGAGAGGATCACAATCCAGCTGGTGCCACCCCACTCCCATGGAAGCATGTGGATCAGCTGGGCATCCCCATGCAGCCTTGCCATCTAGTGCACAGGAAATGGAACACCGCAGCGAGAAGCGGAACTCTGCTACACCATGCCTATTGCGGAGTCTTCGGTGCTGCTCTCCTGGTCCAGTCCCACCCGGCGGATGGATGCCCTGTATTTCTGCCTTCCCAGCTTGATGATCGTCTCAATCTCGTCTGCAATGTCCTGGCGGCCGCTCTCCTTCATGGCGGTGATCAGCTTCTCCACACAGTTTTGGTCCTCAGAGTTTTGCTGGGCCCAGGAGAAGAGCATGTTCAGGATCTGCCCGTCCAGGTCCTGGCTGAGGAGAATAAGCAGCACAGAAATAACAAGCCCACCGTCCATCACAGCACTGATGCTGTGATCAGACCCTAGAAAGTCCCATCATGCCAGAGTAGAATGACTCAGTGGGACTATCTTCCCACTACCTAACCCTTCGTTTTTAGCTGAAAACCAGACTATTTCGATTTGAACGGGTTGCCACCGTACTTCAAGCTCCCATTCTTGTCAACAGCCTGAACTCCCGCATCAGGCTACATCTCCCATGATGTACCAGAATCTCCCTTCTTGGAGAGATGAGGCAATTCATCATGGGAGTCCCCAGCAATGGTGCATCAAAGGAGTTGTAGTCTTGCCTGGAAACCCCCCTGCCCAAAGGGAATGGAAACAGAAAGCACTCAACTTCCATGAGACACTAAGGCAGCATTTCTAAACTGAAATATTTCAATTTTCAGAGAAAATATTTAGGTTTTTTATATTAAAAAACACTCCCCCCCCCAAAAACCCACTTTTAAGGCTTTTTTTAAAGTCTCAAAACCCCAATTTTAACACGGTCAAACAATTTCAGTGGAAAATTTTCCACCAGCCCCAGTGGAGATACCCCTCCCCTGAAGAGGTGTTTGTCCATGGGACCATCACATCAATCACTGCACACACAGCTCACCTGTGGTTGCATCCTATTCGTTGGAGCTGCTGATAGGTCAGCCCCAGGTTCAGGCTCCAATGCGCCCAGCGATGCCAAGTAGATTAGCTTGTGTCAGGTAGCCGGTCTCAGCATTCCCCAGGTTCAGAGGAGGGAAGGAGAAGCCGTTCTTGGGGTCTGCATGCTCACCCCCGTGGGATTTCAGTTTCTGTTTGATGGAAGAGAGACAGAGAAGTGCTCCTACCTGCAATGGTTTCCTCTTACAAGGAACAGTGCCCAAGTCATTTAATCAAACTGTATTTCCCTGAGGTGCAGAGAAGTTAGATTTCACATGGGATCCAGCTGTGAGAAGTGCTGATCCCTCAGTGTTTACTGACTCCAAGTGAGAGCTCTGGGTGCTGAGCACCTCTGCCACTCTGTCCCGTAGCACCCACAAATCACAGCCGGAAGCAGGAAATCCCTCCCTGCCATCTCTGGAGGTTCTCTTCCGTTACCAGTTGTTTCCTGAGTATACATACATCCCTCAGCATCAAGACAGCTTTTACTCTAGGCCCCAAACTGAGGCCATGTGTGTGTGTAGGACTTTGGGGGTAAGCCTTAGGGAGAGGTATAAAGAAAGACAACAATATTTACTGGTCAGTGTCTACTCAAGAGAAATAAAACTTGCCATGACACCGCACGGGGCCAGGCAGGTCCCTTTAAGGCACTCGAGGCTCATTCCAGCACACTTCTACACAATGGTTTAATCAAAACTCCTTTGAGCTGCCATGTTCTGGACAAACCTCCTTCCCAATTATGCCCATTGCTCACATATTCATTTTCAAGGGAGATGCTGTCCTCAGTTCTGGCCAGCTCTCTCCTAGTCAAGCACCCTCATTCACTCAGGGAGCAAAAGTCCATCCTTGGCAACATTTCATCGTATCAATACCAGCTCAGGACTGTGCTAAATGGAACAAACAGGAGAAGGTGGATAAACTAGAGAGAGCTGGAGAATATTTCCAGTTACACACACACTTCCTTGTGGAAGAGGGGGACAAAGACACACAGAAAGTGCCCAAGGCCATTTAAAAGAGCATTAGTAAAATGCTGTATTAAAAAGGCTGGTGCAATTGTGCCTGGTCACCCTCAAGTGACCTCACCACCGGCACCCTGTCCCTCACACTTATGACATGTAACAACACGTGCACAGCTACTCTCTCCATCCCCGTTACGTGCACGCAACCACATGCACGCAAACTCCCCATTTTCAAAGGAAAAGGGATTCTTCACTTTCCATCATGCAGTTTCCGCAGCCCACATTTCTGACTTGTTTCAGGGCCAACCACAAGAGCGCTCAGCTTAGCAGACAGAAACAAGTGTTTCCCTGTCCACATTTGGCTCTCCTTACGTGACTATAACTCACAGGCAATTTGATGGGCAGAGTGGCCAGCCAGTGGGAGTCAGGCCCTTTCCTCTTCTTGGTGGCATCTTCAGGTACATGGTCTGGAACTTCGCCGCGATAGAAGGAGACCTCACAAACAGGGGAGATCACAGAGTAAGACCTAGATGGCATTTCAACAGCTATCTGTTCGACAGGTTTTCTATTTGGCAAGGATTATGTAAGACATTTCCCACCCAGTCCCTACACAACACAACACACTCCCCACTTTGAGTGCCAGATATAATTTAGCAGAGCAGGTGCCAGTGGCAAGAATACAAGGATCCACCATAGAGTCTAGCCCGCTCTCCCTTACTGGTACTAGCCAAGGGTTAAGGGCAGGCAGATAACCATAGTCACTGACCTGGGCGATGGAGGACTGTTAGTATTTGAGCCATGCTCTCTCTGGTGGGCATATTTTACGTGTCCATCTCTAGTGAGGAGAGGCAGATACTCAATTCATGGCGTACCCCAGGCTCTACGGCAAGGAATGCCACAGGAAAGCCAATGACTGAGGAAAAATAAAACTTGGACCTTGGACTAGTGAGAAACTCACTTGCCCTTTCACAGCTTGGCCTTTCCGGTCTACTTCAGAGGTCACATAGATTTCCTTCATGTTCTTCAAGTGTGAGTAAAAGATGAATGAGATCCGTCCGTCCACACAGTCTGGGCGGTCTGAGCAGAGCCAGGGAAAACCAATCAATTAATCTGTGCACAGAACGCCTCCCTGCTGCTAGTCAAGGGTTACTCCAGCTGCTTCCCAGAAACAGAACACACTCCTCCCCAGTTTCTGGCTCATCCCCATGGCACAGGGCTGACCCCCACGACCATGGAGGAAGCAGATCATGCAAGAGCAAAAGAAAAACCCACCACCAGAGCAAGAGGAGTTTCAAGGAGTGAGAAAGGAGGGGAAGATGCTGAGGTTAAATATTGCACCGGTCTTTCCCAGCTGCTCCTGTTAGCACAAAATAAACCACTTGTCTCTGACATTTCCTTAATGCGGGGGAGGGAAGAATACGAGTAAGGATAAAGGAAAAAAGACTGTTATACATGTTGCCTTAGGACTCAAATACCGAACCGTCCTGCCAAATGCCTGTGACCAAGTGTAGGGGAGGGCTTCTGTACCGAGACCAGGCTACGGAGTACGGTGTGAGTCGGCGGTAAAGGGTCCAATTCTGGGATCCTCTATCCCAGTGCAAGTCAAGAGTGGTTCCACTGCCTTTGATGAAGTCACAGTGGAATTACATCAGGCTATCAGAGATCAGAAACAGGCCCACGTGCAGCTACGACACCCCTTGGTGCACCAGGATAGTCTTGTAGTTTTAGTCCAACCCATATAAGTTGAATTAGTGAAAGAGGAAGGTAAAAATGGAACCGGCCAGCAAAACGGGCATTTAAACTCCACACAAGGAGTTTTGTGCTGGACTGTTCCAAGGACTTTTGCCCCAGAGAAATGGCTGTTAGATCAGCTAGCGTGTGCTGGAGAACACAGGTCGTGCACTCACCTTACCTAGGTATTAAATACACACTGTACTAGACTGCAGCCCTCTGGGGGTTGTGGTGGTTTGCTATGAGGACAGAGTGCAGTAGTGATTCCATGGGGAGAATTCACTACCAGAAGCACGTCTTGCAGGCACTTGTCTTCGGAGAGCAGGATAAGGACAGCTGCACCGGCCATGGGTTGGGCAGCGTGAGCAGCAATGCTAGGCTCTGTTCACCAGACCAGCTAAATAAACACAGAACGGAACAGCAGCTGCTGGGAGGGAAGCGAAGGAGCTGATTGGACAAGAGGGCTCTGCCATACCAGCATCAATGCTGATGCCTCGCTCGAAGGCTGCAAAGAACTGCTCTCCCTCGAACATCTCCACAATATCAGATGGCTCTGGTCCCTGGTAGCGGTCATGAAGCTTTCCCAGAACAGGATCAACCTACAAAGGATGAAAGGGACACACGAGTCTGTTTAGCCCAAGGATGGGCAAACTACAGCCCACAGGTCAGATCCAGCCTGCCAAACATTTGGAACTAGTCCGCTGTAGCTCAGCGGGACTCTCAGGAAGGTTCTCGGAGCTAGCTGCTGGGGTCAGCAGGTGTATCTGCATGGCACGTGCCCCTTGGAGGGAGGCAGGTTTCCTCATGCTGCCCCTGCCCTCAGCACAATCCTCATAGCTCCCAATGGAAACCAGCCAATGGGAGCTATAAGGGCAGGGCTTGCAGGCATGTGAAACATGGGGAGACCTGCTGCCCCTCCCCACTCTCCTGCAAGGGGCACATGCCATGCAGGGACACACATGCTCTGGTGTGGAAAAAGTGAATAAGGAAAAGTTATTTGCATATTCCCACAATATAAGAACTAGGGGGTCACCAAACGAAATTAGTAGGCAGTAGGTTTAAAACAAACAGAAGGAAGTTTTTTTTCACTCAGCGCACAGTCAATCTGTGGAACTCCTTGCCAGAGGATGCAGTGAAGGCTAGGACTTTAACAGAGTTCAAAAAAGACCTAGATAGAGTCATGGAAGTTAGGTCCATCAATGGCTGTTAGTCAGGATGGATAGGAATGGTGTCCCTAGCCTCTTTTTCTCCGGAGGTGGGTGACAGGGGAGGGATCACATGAGGATTACCTGTTGTGTCCCCTCCCTCTGAGGCATCTGGTATTGGCCACTGTCAGCAGACAGAATACTGGGTGGATGGACCATTGGTCTGACCCAGTCTGGCCGTTCTTATGCTACCCCAGCAGCTGGCTGCTTTCAGTGGCATGTAGGGGTGAGGCAGGCGGGAAGCCTGCCTGAAGGTCCCGCCGGGCTGCTGGCCTATAATAAAGTGCTCCCCTACCATAGCCTGCCTCTGGCACCCCACCCCCTCCTGTATTCCTACCCAGAGCTCCCTCCCAGACCCCGCAACCTCCATTAAGATCATAGAAAAGTGGTCCCCCATGGAATATTATTGCCCACCCCAGATTTAGGCTATGCACATTCACAGCCTCCCTCCCACAACAGAAATGGGTCCAAGACATTTTTCTCTTGCACTTCCAATGGAAAGTGTTTATTTTTCCGAGAGAGAAAAAAAAAACCCCAAAACCAGCATTCCCTAAAGGTCTAATTGCCATTAAAAAAGTGACTGTAGCTAAGAATCATGTGGCTCCCCTGGCGTGCTTACAGAACACATGATGTCCATGCACACAAGTATGCTCCACAGATTGTGGTGGGGGAGAAATGACTGTCTATGTTTAGTCCTGCAGGCAGCACAGTTCATACAAACCTGGTGTGAATTGTTCCAGCCTACGTTGGACCAGTGCTGGAGTGGGTGGTACTGCCCCAAGTCTAACTAGCCCTCCTTTTCCTACACTAACGGTGCTGAAACTAGCTGGGTCTAACTCCATTTTCAGCTTTGAGGAAGGAAGCTGAATGTCTAAGCTAAACATAAGTTGGGATAGGCTTCTATGCAGCTCAGACATGCTCGGTTTTCTTCCCAGACCCTGAAGACGAGCTCTGTGTGACTCAAATACCTATACAGGCAGTCCCCGGGTTACGTACAAGATAGGGACTGTAGGTTTGTTCTTAAGTTGAATCTGTATGTAAGTCGGAACTGGCGTCCAGATTCAGCTGCTGCTGAAACTGATCAGTTTCAACAGCGGCTGAATCTGGACACCAGTTCT